TCATCTTAAGAGTGTTCGATAACTGAATAAGCTGTTATTGTCGGATAAATTGTGTCGAAGGGAGGACAGTCTATGAATTAGACGGTTGCGCAGGCGCATGCTACATTTTTCTATGTGCCAAACATTTCGGCGTCACATTGTGGCCGGCAGTTTTCAAGAGTTTGTGGAAAAGACGTGGGCCACTTGTAGTGTAGTCGCCGGAATCGGAGGCTAATATAAAGGTTGACGATAAACATTTCGTCCTGGGAGTGTTGGATAATTTATATATATTCTGGCATGATCTTAGTGAAGGAAATGAAGCCCTATTCTATGGGCAATGTGCAGAGACGATACGTTTTCTAACGTTGATTTGGGTCAGCTGGAAAATTGGGATAGTAACCAGAATGCAAACGCGTAAGTTGACGTTTCCTTTTTCTATTGAAGACAATAGAGACGGATGGAATAACATCATGAAAGGATGGTTACCTTCTTACGTGATAAATGTCTTGCAATTGTTGTATTTGTGGTGTTAAGCCAGTGTATAAACTATGAGGATTTCCGATCAGTTGAAGTGATCGAAATTAGATCCGTATAGGGGTTTGGATTAGCCACAACGAGAGAAAATCAAAGATAACGATTTTCAGTTCGCTTGTTAATGGATCAGAAAAAGGTTTTCAAAGAGAGTCGAAACGTAGTCAACCGAGAATTGTTGTCTATAGTATTATCTCGTCGTGATTGATTCCAATATTCCTATGCAAATATAATACCATGAGCAAGAAGCACAATAGCTTCAAAGACATCCGTTACAAATTGGATCCGGATGCAGTGGGGATTGTCGAAACTTCGTGCTTCTGAGTGGTTTGAATGAACTAGAGATTGTCCAGAACTGAGGCAGCTTGAAATTATGCTGGGATAAGTGGAAACGGCGTCCGGACCTCTTGAAATAATATTCTGATAACTTGAATTGCTGTAGCTATGATCGGGAACCTCTCATGCTTTCCACACGTTCTCATCGATTTAACGACTGCAGACGTCTCTAATCGATACGTATTCTTATTGCATCAGAGAATGATCTGCACTTGTAGGAAGGAAGGATAAGCAAAAGAAATGCATCGATGTGGTTTTTTATTCACGCATGATTATTAAGGGAGTGCCTGGAAGCATGTTTGAAGCCACAATGAATAGAGCGTTTTGTGACCTTTACTTTACTCTGATAACATGTACCATACTGTTACTCCTCCACTCTTATTATGTATGGCTCAAAGCTATCTCATGAATAGCAGCCCTGTTGTCAGCAGCGAGCACTACCTCAGGTGCAGTGAAATGATTCCATAGATAAACCAACAATTGAAAAAACTACTCAAAATCGTTCAAATTGCCGCTGTCATTTTTCTTGTGACTAGCATACATTGTTGTATATTGCACGTATACTGCGGTCGTTGTAGAGAGAGTTTCATACGAGCTACTCGGTTCAACAAATGCTGGTTTTCTATAGTTTCTCACAGCTACACTCCAGTGCTCACCTCTATGACCTATCAACAACATCCCCGGCAGTTAGCTATAGACGTTCGATTTCTGATCCCTCCCACCTCAAACCGGGTACGCGACCTGTCCGTCTTACACACATTCCTGCTTACATTATCAGCATGAAAGCGATCAGAGAAACTCATTCCTGTTGTACTGCGCTGCACGATGGTGCCAGATCAACTCATTTGAATCAAAACGCTTGAGGGTGTTAATTTTGTCCCAACATGGCTGATCTCTCTCTCCTCTAATTTGCGAACAACCGGCAGCAGAAGCTAAACGCACAAGCGAGTGGGGCACTTCAAAAACGGAAGCTGGTCAAAATTGTACGCATT